CAGTTCAGAGTTTTCATTTACTTTTCCCTATAACTGTTTGACTTAAATTATCATGTAAGAAAGAAAACTCACAACTGACTATAAGAATATAAAATAGGGAAATGTACATTATTCCGAGTAAAATGGATAAAGCAGAGCTGCTCTTTAAAGTTTGCACTCTTTACATTGCTGTTAGTCTCAGAGAATAAAACCAACACAATGCTTTCTTCTTTCTCATGCTGTTGATCAAAGTTGAGAACCAACAACTAGAGCAAAGCCAACCTCAGTTATTAAATACTTTGTTTGCCAAAATAGGAAAAAGTATCAAGGACACAATTTTGGCAGCCTTCTGAATGAAAAATTATCCTGCTTGTATCCATTTGACTCCAATTATCCCACCCTCCTTGAAAAGCTTTTCCTCCTTAATAAAACTTCCTACTCTACTTTAAGCTCATCTTAAAGTGATCCTTTCCCGCCTGAGGCCCAACAGCAAGTGCTTATACAATTTGCTTAGAAATGAACTACTGTACGTCTGAGTTCGCATCATCTCTTCATTACCCTATGGAAATGTAATAATCTTGACCTGGTAACTTGTCACAATTGTTTCAGCCACTCACTTTAGTTCTAGTGCACCCCTGTACAGGTCAGTAGTCATTAATCACTGGTGACTCTCTAGGTTTACATTGAAAGGATGGGTAGGGTATAGATAATGGAAGGTCTAATTTATTTTCTTCTATAATCAACAGAAGGTTGCTGAAAGTTTATGCAGAAGAAGTACTTTCTCTATACTTCCTTGTCAAGAGTTCTTATCCCTAATATTGGTATTGAGAACCCCAATGCCATATAGAGCCCAATGTCACAGTTGAATGAAGCAGGGATACATGTTCTACCAACAAAGATCAATCAGATATTCTTATTCAAGCACTTAGGATTGGCTACAGACATTAGAACTGTAGGGTTATTTTAATAAGGGACCATGTGGTGCTAGGAAGAACGCATCCAGTTTCCTGCTGAGTATCTGGTTATACATATCACCTATGGACTAACTAAGATGCCAGCAGCTTTCCAATACATCTGAATTTTGCCTAGCCTAATTTAAATGAGCTTCCACTTCCTGTAATTCTGACAAGAGTCTGGTCGTTAATCAGATTCTGGCAGTCAATTATTAGGATAAATTAGTGTGGAAAAAGGCTAGAACTGGTAGCCAAAACACTTACACTAGGAAAGAAAAGAAAACACTCCAAGCAAATAGAAGCAAGTATGATGAAAAAAGTAACCAGTGTTATGCAGAGTCCTCAAACAAAAAGTTTCAGAAAGCTAAAGCAGTGTCAACTGCCTTTATGAACAAGAAAGAGCCACACGATACTAATGTCTTTAACACATTCCTGCTAACTTGAACCACCAATGCTACATACATGACTGCCCCATGCCTCTCAACAAGACAGTCATGCATGTACCACCAGTGGTTCAGGGCTGGCCATCAGTGAGATATGCAAATTATAGCCCCATTATGAACAAGTTAAAGAGAATAATTTAGCAGAGTAAATGAGACAGAAGTCATAAATAATTGGTAGAAAATAAAGGCAACTAAGAAATTTGTTTAAAAGACTGATTATGAAAGAATCTGAGACAACAAACTGCATTAAAGAGTATCCCCACTAAAAAAAAGAGAGAAATATAAACTTATTTTTAAGCAAAAAGTCAGGGAAGAATCAAAGGCCCATCTGCAAGAGTCAAACATGAAATTAAAGAGGATGCAGAAGTCATACTCACCCTCACGGTCTACTTCCTTCAGCTAGGCCAGTGATGGTGAACTTTTTAGTTTTCAATGACAACAGTCAGCTGCAGCATGTGTGCCACAGGTTCACCATCACTGAGCTTGGCCCTCTTCCTAAACGCTCTTTCAGCTATGAACACATCTGTGATGAGGTTAGCACCCTCAGGATCTGATGAACTAGACCTTGGGGAATATTTTAGATCCAAGCTATAATAATCATCTGTATTTACCTGAAGTTTCAGGGAATGAAACACAAATTCATATCACAAGTAAAAGTGAGCTACTAATGAGCTAGGTCAGGATATCTTCAGATACAGTTCTTATACAACCTAGGCCCTATAATACAAACTTAACTCTCTTGAAAAATATGAATCAAACAAAGCTATCCGAGATTATACTCTGCCAAAAGCTGAAAAGGTGCTCTCCATTCATAATTTAATTGTAAAGAAACTTGATACACATTTCAAAATATTAAAAAATGATTAACAGACCTTTTCCATATTCAAAATCAACTCTATTAAAACAAGATTAGCATACTATACATCTATTGGAATGATCAAAACTGAGAAAAGTGACATTAAATGTTGAAGAGGATGTGAAACAACAAACTGAGGTACTGTTGGTGGAAATACAAAATACATAGTACAACCACTTTGGAGGACGATTCACTAGTTTCTTACAAAACTAAACATATTATCATACAACAGTCACTTTCCTTGGTATTTAGGCAAAGGAGCTGAAAATTTCTGTCCACACAAAAATCAGCACATGGATATTTATAGCAGCTTTACTTTTTTTTGTTTTTTTTTTTGGTTTTTTTTTTTGGTTTTTCTCCGGTACCAGGAACCGAACTCACGACCTTGCGCTTGCCAGGCAGGCGCTTTGCTGGTAAGCTAAATCCCCAGCCCCTAGCAGCTTTACTTTTAATTGCCAAAATTTGGAGGAAGCCAATATATCCTTCAGTAGGCAAATGGAAAAACTGTGGTACATCCAAGTGGAGTATTATTCTACGCTAAGGAGAAAAGAACTATCAATCCATGAAAAAGACCCATATGAAAGTTAAGTGCATATTGCTATGCAAAAGATGCCAACCTGAACAGGATACAAACTGTACAATTCTAACTAGATGACATTCTGGAAAAGGAAAAAACTATGCAAACAGTAAAAATATCAGTAGTTACCAGAGTATAGGAGAGTAGGAGGGATAAGTAGAGTACAGAGGACTCTTAGTATACTGATACTATGCATGATTTCTAAAGGTCAATACAGGTCATTACACATTTGAATAGCCCACTGAATGTACAATACCAAGAGTGGGTTCTAATGTAAACTATGGACACTGGGTGACTATGATGTACTAAGGTAAGTTAATTGTAACAAATGCACTATTCTGGTGAGGCATGTTAATAAGAGAGGCTCTGTTTGTATGGATGGACTTATGAAATCTTTGTTTCTTCCTCTCAATTTTGTTGTGAACTTTTACTAAAACTGCTCTTTTAAAAAGTCTACTAAAATTACTTGTTTGGAATTACTTAATGTAAAATGGAATGAATTAAATGTAAAAAGTGAAAACTTCAAAATTCTTAATAAAAAACATAGGCAATTATCTTTTAAACCCAGGAAATGGATTTAAGGAACAACATGTTCCAAGACACTTTAAGCAATTACAATAAAAGATGGACAAAAATTGAACTGTTAAATTAAAATTCTAGATTAGCAATTCCAGTAAAATATGCATGCAAGAGAAGTTATTTTGTTTTATATCCAATAAATCTGGTCAACTCTAGCACTTTCTGGGCAAGCTATGCCAAGTACTTGAACAACTGATTCACAAAACTCCTACACTTGTAATATACCATGCTTTAAACAAAATAAAATATGACTGACAAATAACACTAAGTAGTTTGCAGCAAAGAGATATGGAAGGAAAAACTGAGCTGCTGAACAATTTACATATACAGTTTTCATTATTTGTTTGCTTCTAAATTTACCCTTCAAGTCAACTAATCTCTAAGAGCCTAGTTTGTGTAGTGAAACAGTATTTTATACAAATGTCTATGGTTGTTCATTTGGATAGTTTATAAACGCTGAGGACAAAAACTGTGTAACTTTATCCTTTTTATGCAAAATCTACAATAGAAATTAAGCATCTTATTGATCATGATGAAATTAATGATTCTGAGTATTTTCCAAAATAGTAAAACATTTAAAACTGTCCCTCCCAAAAACTTCCTAAAAGAAAGTGAAAAAGACAATTTAGAAATTCAAAGAGATTTATAATATATACAGAATTAACATAAAGAATATAAAGAACTCTTATAAATCAGAAAGAATCAAAACAAGAGACAAGAATAGGAATTCCACTTAAGAGAAAACACAAAAGTCCAGCAAATAAAAAAGAAATACTCTAAGTGATAATCAGGAAAGTGCACATCAAGATCACCGTAAGATGACATATCACACCTTTTGACTTGTAAAAATTAAAAAGATAATATCAAATGTTGAAGAGGATGGATAATCAGGATCTTTTATCTTATATATTGAAATTATAAATGTAAATTGATGGAACCATATTGGAAGTTCTATATCAACTCTTACTTGAGTATTCACCTTTCTGTGAGGCAGCAATTGTACTTCTGTACATATATCATCAATAGAAATTTTTATATAAATGGAAAATATGCACACAATGTCCCTGTTTGTTCACAATTACAAAAACGAGAAAGTAACTGAATGCCTTACAAGGGAGAATAAATATTCAAATATCCAATGGAAGATAATAATAAATGACATACAATAATATGGATAAATCTTACCAAAGTTAGGCGAAAAGTCAAGGTAAAAGATTATATTCAAGATAATTATATAAAAACAACTAAAATAAAAAACACATCCTGTTTTTAGAAGTATACATCCAGTAATGACCACAAGATTCAATATAACGATTACCTGGTGACATTAGAAGGTGAAAATAGGAGCATGGGATGGAAATAAACTACACGTGGCTAAATCCCTTGCTTGAGTAAAGGGACATGGGGTAGCCCATGAGTACTTTATTGTGATACAGTCAGATAATGACTCCATGCAGTGGTCCTGAGGTCCAACCCAGACTAGACAACTTAATAACTTAGTGAGACCTTGTCTCAAGATAAAAAGAAAATAGAGCTGAGAGTGTAACAGCTCACTGCAAAGATCCTGGGTTCAATTGCCAAGGCCAAAACAAAAAAATAAAAACAAAACATACATGTACAATAATTTGTTCAATGAAAACTCTCCTCTTCGGCAGCATAAAGTGTTAAATGTTCCGTGCCTGGCTTGGCATTATTGGGTGGTGGTGGAACTTTCACTGGGGCCTACTGGGAAGTCTTCAGGTCACTGGGGGTATGCTGTCGAAAGGAGAATGGGAGTCCAGCCCCCTCTTCTTCCTCTCTTTTGCTTTCCAACCATGAGGTAAGTAATTCTCCTTTCATAAGAAATCCTGGAAAAATTAAATTGTCAAAAATTAAATTGTCAAACGCCTATTATTTTAAATTTTATTAATTTTACTTGAGTAAAATTAATAAAAATTAATAAAATTTAAAATAATAGGCGTTTGACAATTGTTTAACACAATACACTTTACTAGGCAATGGTGGTAAATTATCTACTTTATTCAAATATTATTTATGCTTATGGAACTACTATTTTAAGTAACATTCACCTCTACAAACTAGTATAGTACTCTGCTTGTTTAAAAGCAGACACTGGAATAATCTAATGGCATGATAATTTACCACTGCTAAATTTGAAAAGCAAGGACAGCTCAAACAGATGCTACTCCCTGGAATAAAAGGGCCCCTATTTCTCCCTGTCTCAATACTGATAATATATGAATGGTAGGAGTCACAGGAGAACTAACCTCTATTACATTAACACAAGATAAGAAAACACGGTCCATCTTAGAGCCATCTTTTAATGAACTAGCTTCAGGAGAGATTTTTACTGAGGCAGACAATAAACAATACGGCAAAAAGTATGCACTGGAAACTATAAATACTGAAGCTATGTAAGAGTAGCCGTAGCCAAATATAATCAAACCAACACTGATTTAGTGTTCAATGTTATTGCTATGTATCATATTGCCTATTATTAATCCAAACTGTACTGTTCACTTTTCTCCTTAACTGTGTCTAAAAACTTATTTCAAAATCAAAATTTGTAAAACGACATCAATTTTAAAAATAGTTTTACAAAAGGCACCAATAAAGCTACTCAGTCCATTTATACAGAACTAATGGCAAGAAAAGAAATCCTTACCCTACAGCTATTTCTACCTTACAGCTTGCTATAGCTTGGATTTGGGATGTTCCTGAAGGGCCAAAGCATTAAATGTTCGGTGCCTGGCTTGGCGTTATTGGGTGGTGGTGGAACTTTCAGTGGGGCCTACTGGGAAGTCTTCAGGTCACTGGAGGTATGCTGCCAAAGAGGAGAATGGGAGTCCAGCCCCTTCCTCCTCCCTTTTGCTTTCCAACCATGAGGTGAGTAATTCTCCTTTCATAAGAAATCTTGGAAAAATATTATATCCTTCCAACCTAGGCTAAAAAGAAATAGGTCTATCTGAAGATAGTCAAAACTGTAAGCCAAATAAACTTTTTCTCTTCATAAACTGATTGTCTCGATTAGTTAGTTCTAAGTGGTGGAACAATGAACACCTTTTTTGTGTGTTTTTTTTTGCATTTTCAGATTTTCTACAATAAATGTGCATTATATTTAAAACTTGAAGAAACTGTAAAATCCACTTACCTTTTAATACACCATTTTATCCTAAAATCTTTCCAACAGAGGAAAAAGTACTTCTGCTTTCTAGTATCACTGAAAAATTAAATGCCATCTTCTAACTTCCCACCAAGTGGGTAAAATACCAGTAAGCTGTACACTGGTGTAACTACTGCAAAAACCCCTTTTGTACATTTTAAGGGAGTAGTTATGAGAAAAAGGATTAGAAAAGTAAATTAAAGAAAACTAACAACAGTAGTTCCTTGGTTATCAGCAGTGGATTGGTTTCAGGACTGCCCTTGTATACTAAAACGTGCAGGTGCTCAAGTTTCTTACATATGTGGTACAGTACATGTGTCCTCTGTGTCCATGGGTTCCACATCTGTGGATTCCCCAAGGATCAAATATATTTGAAAAAGCAGGGGCGGGGATATAGTTCAGCGGCACAGTGCCTGCCTGGCAAGCGCGTGGTCCAGAGTTCGATTCCCCCATATCAATCAATCAATCAATCAATTAATCAAATAAAAAAAGAAAAAGCAAACAAATCTGCACTGAATATGTACAGACATTTTTCTTGTCATTATTGTATCCCTTAAACAATATAACTATTTATTTAGCATCTATATGGTATTAATATTATAAGTAATCTAGAGATGATTTTAAATATATAGAAGGATGTGCACTGGTTATATGCAAATTATTATGCCATTTTATATACAGTATAAGGGACTTAAGTATCTGAAGATTCTGAGATCTATGGGGTCCTAGAACTAAAGCCCCATGGATCTGAAGTGACAAATCTATTCGCATGTCATCTATATACATCTTTTAGTAATATGTAAATATTACATAAACAGTAGCTCTGCAGTATTGTTTAGAGCTGTAAGACCTATTGTTTTATTCTCTAAAAGTGTGTACATGTTCAGCACAAGCATTTATTTCTGAGTATTTTCTATGTGCATTGGTTGAATCCATGGATGTGGGACATAAGGATACTATTATATGTTATATGTCAATAATCATAGTGAACTCTTAAAAGTTAAGACATTCATCATGCCAGGTGGTAAGTGCAGCCTTCTCATTACTATACTGAGCACCTACAAAGTGATAAACAGAGTTTGGTTATACATAAACTTAAAATTTTTAAACCGAAGTTTATCCTATGAACATTCTACAAAGAAATGATAAATCTCGTGTGAGATTTGTGGCAAACAGTCAACACCTTTCATGAGAAACTAATCGTGAAATGAAGAAAGCCTATGAAAAGATGATTGTTACTTTTATACCTTACTTGCAATAATACAGCACTGCTAAATTACAGACTACCAAATGGAACATAAAGCTCATTTTTTCTTTTTCTAGCAGGATCTAACAGGTAGATACCTTTTTGGCTAATTTTTACAAATTTCATACAACACTGTAATGCAAAATATTTATGGGTTCACAGTACATTTGGGTTCAAATTCAGACTTATAATGTGACCATGGGCAATGTACTTAAGATTAATGAACTTAGCTCCCTGATCCATAAAACAGAAATAACACTCTCGCCTTACTGGATTGTTGTGAAGGTCAAGTAAGGTACACAGGATACTGAGTACAATGTCTGATATGCAGCAAACAATAAATGCTACTTTGCCTCGCATATAATCTTTTAGTACAAAAGTTATCTGTACTCTCTTCTGGAAAGCAAAAACTACTATGTGTCAGCTTTATATCCTAAGTATTCAATAACTTTATTGAAGTTTAACACTTCTAATTTAAGGCTAACTACGTCAACTTTCCATTTGAGCAAACTCTCTTTACCTATACAGTATAGATTCTGCTGGGAATGGGATTTAAGCTTCCCAACTCAATACTTTACTAGGTATTCTGATAAAGAAAGTGAAGCAACAACAATCGGAAAGGTAACTTTATTAGTACGCTACTCCATATTCGGTTCTACATGCTACGAAATTAGTTGTAGTCAACGTTCCATTTTACAATTCTTTAGTTTTCATTAATTCAGTTTCCTTGGAAATAAAGTTTAGTTTCTTTGGCCTCACAAAAAAATTTACATTTCTTGCTGTACTTCAAATAAGAAATTAAGAGACTAGGATAAAACAAACTAGTTATGTGTGACAAAAATTACAAATTGCCTGCTGTTTATATTTTTAAAGTTTAATTTTATTTTTACTATAGTAAACACTTTTCCTTATACCTTAAAGTCTCTGGTCATCAAAGTTTGTGTATGCCTTATTAATGCTTCCTTGTTTAATAATTCTCCACATTACTATCAAGAGTTAAGAAACATTACCCTCAGAAACATTACAGTAATTAACAAGACAAAGTAATGTAGTTTCAGGGTTTTTTAGTTTTGTCTTTCTATAGTCAAAGGTTATTAATGAGCAAGCCAATTCCAGTTTAAGTAGTAAAGTGTTTCAAATTCTAAAGTATGATTTGAAAAAATGGAAAATTGCACGTATTTTCTAAAATAATTTCACTAAAGTTATACTACATAGTGTTCATAGTAAAACAAGTATTCCTAACATAAAGTAAAGTAACAGTTTTTAACTATCAAACACATTAAAACTGGACCATATAACTTGCTACTTAAAATACTTGCTTGGCAGAAAAGGGTAAGAAATTAGTACTAAATTGTTTTTCAACAGAAATAAATTTAAATAATTTAAAAGCTTAAAAAACTGGTTCTCAGGTTGGTAAACATTTGGTTATCATATACTAATTTCATGACCCACTGAAGCAACAAAATGATCAAATAGATGGATACACTTAATATAGCAAATTTTATGACTAAGTGCTGATATAAAAATATTTAAAAATGTATTAATGAACATAATAAACTTTAGATGCAATAACATTTACTACAAGAGAAGTCCAATAAATGCCCGAGATATGTATGACAAACTTAAGGTTATTAAAGTCACAATAAGTATTATTCTTTTCCTAGAGAGAGTTACACTGTAATTAATTTTAAAGTACAAGTTTATGTGTTCTCCTTTGATCTTATTTAAAAATCATATTTAAAACGTGTTATTTCTTTAACTTGCTTCCTTGTTATTACCAAAAAAGATCTTATTAACTAAAAAATCCTAAGGATTACATTTTTAAAAGTATGTCAGTTGCAGTACTAAAAATGTCTTTTATGTCAACTTTCTATAAAATACAAGTAAGGATGCCAAATACTTTATAATTCTAGCACCATTCAACACAAAAATGCTCCTGTCAGTTTAATGGCTTTTCTCCATCAAAATTTTGTGTTTCAATACTAGGTAATGTATTCTTATATGTCTCAGATCGTCCTTATTTTAAAAGTTCATGTAAATTACTAAAATAATAAATTGTATCCACTTAAAAAAACACTGTGGCTGTAAGACCTGCAGACCTGCTTACAAAAATGTTATTAAGACTACACGGCAACACTTTAAAGGACAGGAAATTCAGCTTTGCGTGTACAGAGAACTTCAAGTTTGTAACCGTGAATTTGCACACTGGAAATCTGTATTCTCGGGGGGGGGGGGGAGCACTTGTGTGCAGTAGACCACATTTCTACGGGAATCTAAAGAAAAACGCAAAAAAAACGTAGATGCACTTGCAATATATACTTATGACAGAAGAATAAACCACTATAATATTCACCTAAAAAACTGTCCAACCGTCCAAAACCAATACGAACATGCTATTTCCTTTACTTCCCACCTCTAATCTTTGAGTAGCCAAAAGATGAGTATACTAAAACAAACCAAGTTTAAAAAATGTTTTTAAAATTTTAATCCATATATAAACATCTCTCAACACCCCGAAGTAATGAAAAATAAACCGGATAGGTTAGCTTTAGTCTCCTCCTACACCACAGATATCTAAAAACAAAAAGCGCGCATACATGACCAAATATTTAGCTGGAAATCGGAAAGAATAAAATAGCTATTCGACATGGACTAGCTAAGGCATCTGTTTTGTTCCCATATGCTGTCCAATGCTTTCCCTTAGTCGACTTCTCACTGTAAACAACTTCTGTAGCTCTTTTTCTGGTGCTCAAACGGGACGAAAATGAAGGTCTGAAAAGCATCAGCCTGAGCCGGGGTAGCCAAGAAAGGGAGCAAGTATCACTCCGTTAAAAAAAATAAATAAATAAGGTAGCTCGCAAACTAGAGAAGAAGGAAAGTCACCTGAAAAGAGCTGGCGAAGCGAAGCAAGCGCTTGGTACGGCGGCTTGAAAAAAACTTGTTTGGGGGCTGGAAGTTATGGGGGCGCTCTTTGTGCAGAGGCCGAGGGGAAGGGGAGGGACGCGGCACCGGCCTGGGAGTCATTCAAAGGCGCTCCGGCGCTGAGCTCGCGGGCGGCGGGGCGGGGCGGGGCCGGGGC